AAGATTCCATCTAGCCAGGTCATGGGGCAGAGGTGGTCCAGTAGTGGGGTCTAGGGGGGTGGAAACACGGTAGGGGACCAGATCAATTCTTTTACTACTTTTTATTTTATCCTTCAGTGGCTGACTTCCATTTCATTACCCCCCAATATCCCATTAACTCTCCACCTCCAAGCTTCATGTTTCCAGCCCCCCCTTCCCTCCTCCCTAACCCATCTCCCTCATCCCCCCTACCTAGAACAGGGATAGAAGGCTCTCCTAGCTCACTAGCTGTAACTCCTAGTCAGGCCCGTGCTTGCCAGCCCTCTAGCGTGGCAAGTCACAGCTGTGCAAGTGGAGGACAGTCAGAGAAGGATTTTTGCCTTAAGCTGTGACTGCTCCAAATTCAAGCTAATGCTAACACTGATCAACATTGGAGCAGCTCAAAGTGCAATATATAACACGGCCCTTAATCATTCCTTACAATATGGATTCTGTGTCCAAGAAAAACTGGGACAAAACTGATTCTAAGAGTGTTTTTATGGCCGTAATATAGTATGCTAATATTGAAAAAACCTTGAAGGTTGTTTCTGTTTGATAGCACACAGTGGGTAAATAAATAATAATGGCCCCCTGCCTCCCATCTTGGAGGAAAGGTTTTGTGGAAGGGAATTGCACTGGCACTGGCAAGGGAAATTGCCTATACCTAGGATCCTGAGGAGAGACCTGGGAAAGAGGGGTCGTGGCCATCTCTCCAGTCCTTCTAATTTTTCAGAGTGCATATATTTCAGAGTGCCTCAGAGAAATAAAGCATTTATTCCACTCCAGTTCTCTTGTCAGTGGGGATTTGTGCAAACCCACTAGATTTCCCTCTTTTTTCCATTTATGCATCTGGCAGCTATCTTCTGCACCAGCTTCCTTTGTTAAGGTATTGTTAAGCTGTGCTTCCATGATACCTTGGGTATGACTAGATTATGTGTTTGGGGATCATGAAAGATTTTGTTTCATTGGAATTGTTGAGGGGTCTAGATTTTTTGAGCGGGGGGGGAAGGGGCGGTATGGAGGGGTGAAGGGAAGGAGGGGGAAAAGTATTTGTATGGACCTAGCTCTGACTGAAGACGGCCATCCATGGTTTATAGGTTATAAAATACAAGGTCATGTAACCCTTATTTGACTCAATTAAATGCCTGGGATTGAGGAACATACGAGTTGGGGAGCAGATAGCATCATCCTCATACCTGTAATTAAAGTCAGTACACTTCTGGTCTTGGTTTAAAATCTGTCCTTCTGTCTTTTTCATTGGCATGCATGTCCTGATCAGTGAGTTGTTTTGAAGGACTGTGTTCTCATGTACAGATTATATGGATGTGTATATGTGAAATACTTAATATGATTCCTATTAGAGTTAATATGGCTCTCTTTAACTTCAGTGAG